TTAATCAATAAATTAAAAAATTACGCTACTCTATAAAAAGGTTTAAATATGTATCTTTTTTCAACCAATACTGCCAAGTTGGTGATTTGTGTGTGTTTGTGTGTGTCTGTGTTTCTGTGTTTTATAAGTATCAACAAAGCAAGTTTGTTTATTATTATTTTACTAAAAATTTACATCAAATGTATTTTCTAATGTTATTTTTAGATAATTTATTATAACCTAACACATCTAGTGCATGCGTCTTTTATAAAGATGATTTAAATGCAATCTTTATACGTAAAAATAAAATGATACACAATCTTTATACATAAAAAAAAATGATACACAATCTTTATATATATAAAAAACTAATACACAATCTTTATACATAAAAAAATAATACACGATTTTTATACATGAAAATCTTCCTATATTTTATAAAACTTTATATGTAATTTTTACACATAAAAGTCTTCCTTTCTTTAAAACACTCTACAAAAATAATACACAATAAAACTTATTAATCTAAAAAAGATTTTATTCTTTATATTTTGTGAATATTTTACATCGTAGTTGAGAAAAGAAAAAGATAGAAATATGTTATGCACAAGCTTATAAGGTAGGCTAACTGGGAAAACATTTAATTTTCGTTTTTATATACGTATTCAAAAGTAATATATATATAACAACTTTAGCGTTTTATTGCTTTTTTTTAAAAAAATGCATATTGATAAACTTATAAAAAATTGATTATAAGATGCGTGTTTTTCGCTTGATGGTCTTTATTATTTTATATTTTCTGTTGAAATATTCAAAGAATACCCAAATATTACATTGATAAAACGTATGTTTTTGAAACAAAGAAATAATTTTTTTTTTAAACAATATAAGTTTAGTGCAATAAACTTTTTTTGAAAATTTCCGAAAATTTTTCCAGAATTCAAAAATTGATAAAAAATAATATTTTAGTGTATACTTGTTAATGATTTCTTTTTTATATTACTTTTAGCTATTTTGATTTTAATAACAACTTCGAAAGTTTTTTGTTTTCAAAACTATTAACTTTATATTATTTTCACTTTAACTTTTGTTTGTATTATCATTGTCAAAAATTTAATATTGTAAAAACATGAATTTTACACAGCGATTTTTGATGAAAAGACCTTCTGCGAGTTTCTCGCGTCTTTAAAACTATAAAACTGCTATTTTATAAAAGTTTTTAATAATTAACTTTTATACTTTCAATTTGCTCGTAAAGATATAATTTATTTATTTTTGAATGTATATAAGATTTTTATTCTACAAACTTAAACTGTAGAAGAACAAAAATAATTGTAAAAAACAACAACAAGAAAGAGAAATTGTCTTTGCAATATAACAAAACATTTGAACTATTTTGCAATACCCATAAAAAGGAGGAGGGGGGAATAGATAGTTTTGGAAGAAGGGCCAAATATTTTTTCTAAATGAAACCTATGTTTAAAAATGTGAAAGTGTGTGTATAAAACTATAATTTTTATAGCTATAAATTTATTTAATAATCGGATGACAACTAATAATATTTCCTTAACAATGATAAAATCAGTAGTATAATACACAACATAAAACTTTGAAGAGTCAAAAAAACACAGAGGAAACAGAAAATTTGTAATGTCAATGCTTGCGATCGATGCTTGTCATTTTTTGAAAGAACCGACTCTCTCATTTTCTCATTTTCATCATTTCTCATTTTCTCATTTTCTCATTTTCATCATCAGACCATCTCATTTTCAAATAAACTAATGACATTAAAGTTTATATATTTATCATATATGTTCTTTAAGCCATCTTATTTTAAAATAAACTTTATTGATGTAAAAAAAGTTTCCGAAATAGCTCTCCAACCTGCAGAAATGACTTTTGTCGCCTTGCGCAGAACAACGAAGCTATGTATACATAGCTTCTATAAGTTTATAAACTAATAACGTAAAACTTAAACAGCTGAATTTTAATAAAAACTATGAAATAATAGTACTAGTGAGTTCAATTTTTTGTTTCCGTGTAAGTATAAATAAAAAAAAAAAGTTATTTCAAAATTCTTTAATTATAAATAATTTATCAATTATTCGCACAGTGCTGCACTCGTAACCATAAATTGTAACATGTAAAACTAAAGTTTATTGCTTATTTTTAAGTTAAGTTACTTTTAGTTGGTAAAACTTTGACAAATAATTTTTTACAATTATTCTTTTTTAAAAAATAAACATTATCATATTGTTTATTGCTCATAGTATTTTACCCAACATACACTTAACGCAAATAAACATTTCTTTAACGTCTATGTAATATCACATACATTTAACATATTATTAAAAAAAATATCATTTTATATCGGATACATCTCTAACCATAATAATTTTAATACATATCTTGCATATCTGAAGTAAACATTTTCTTAAAGCCCTCATATAGGAAAGTAGTTGTACCAGAATCATTCAATAACACGAAAATGGCCCAATATCTGCAATATTTATTTAATAGTATATTAATAGTTTTATTTAATAGTATAATAATAGTTTTATTTAATAGTATATTAATAGTTTTATTTAATAGTATATTAATAGTTTTACTTAATCGCTTATAATTAATACTTAACTTAACGCTGCTGCTCACCATTCGTGCACCTTTACACGGATTTTTTTACCATACTTGGCCTTTGAGTTTTATCATAAATTGCTTTACTTCTGAACTCGCCTAATGGGGCTCTTTCAAATCTTAATAATCTGTCAGTATCTGCTTAATCAGTAATGAGATCAAAAACTTTGTTTCATCAGCTTAATTAGTGATAAGATCAACAATTTTTATTTGATAACTTCTGTAGTAAAGGATGAACATTATGTTATTATTGAATTTGTAAAGTAACTTTTAAAGTCAGGTGATTTATTTAAATCATGCATTTTAGTCTTTTGTCAATTGTATTTAAATTTATTAATTTATAAAATTAATCTCTAATTTTTAAATTAAAAGACGACTCAAGAAGACGTTGCTCATTTCAAAGGTCAAGAGGTCAAACTCTTGATAAAGTTAGTGTTTAAAACACTTGCATCTCACACGGTCAACTCAATGTTACATGTTAAAGAACAAGATCGTTTAATACCTTATTTAAAAGAAGTTATAAAAATCCGTATAAAAAACCAGATTGTTTGATAGTTTGTTTTTGAAAGTTGTTAAACATTTATTACGAGGTATTTCAAAAAACAAAAATAAGGTTGTATTTGTAAAGTTTCAAATTTATATATTTTTCTTAATTTATATATTTATCTATATATGTGTGTTATTTATATTGTGTTTTATTGTGTATATATGTGTTAAGGTTATATGGGTTTATATTTTGTAAGTGTGTAAATATATGAAATGTTTCAATGTTTGTGGTGTGTTATATGTAATATGTTTATAGTTTGTAAGTGATAATTATGTTGTTTGCATGGTTTCAAATTGTTGTGACTGGGCTTAGTTTACAGCAAGATTGTTGACCTCGCTAGCCAAGTGGTGTACTTTGCTATAATGTGACCTGGCTTTGTTGAGAGCAAAAATATTGTCCTCGCCAGCAGAGTGGTGTATTGTCATAATAAAACACATAAATTAATTCTGTTTGTAATTAGTGTATTTCTAAAATGTGTTGAAAAAATATTGTTTAAAAAATGTGTTTTAATGTTGTTATCCTCTGTTCTTAACAATGTATGCTTTTGACAATAAATAAATTTTGTTAAAAAGCAGGCTTTACTAACAGCTCCTCCTCATTAAAATTTTTAAGAGTTTCGATTTTCTTCATTAAATATGTTTAACTCAAATTTTTTTTATATATATAAAAGTAAGTATACAGCGTGTTGAAGCATAAGTTTTAATAACTTTTGTTAAATTTTTAGGATTTTTTGTATAGAGAATGTTTTCTTTATATTATTATTTTAATGTTTTGTATGTACATCAATATATATATATATATATATATATATATATATATATATATATATATATATATATATATATATATATATATATATATATATATATATATATATATACATATATGTATATATATATATATATATATATATATATATATATATATATATATATATATATATATATATATATATATATATATATATATATATATATATATATATATATAGACACACACACACACAATAAAATATATAGAATTAAAATGTCTATACATATATTATATGTATAGACATTTTAATTTTTTTGCCTTAAATTATTGTCCCTTTTTTCTTTAGAATATTAAATATCTAAAAAAAAAATAAAATAGTAAAAGAAGTTTCAATATTTCCAAGTTTCTTCACTTGAAGCAAATATATGATTGTTTATAGAGGTTCTTTTAGTAGTTTTGTATTTATTTATTTGCAAATCTTGCGTTAAATGCCTTTCAAAGTAATGAAAGGGTTTTGTTGATGGATGATTACATTTTATCCTTCCATGCTAGCAGTACCTGCTGAGTTGACAGGCCTTAAATTTTTTTAATTTGCTTTATTTATGAGTTCTTATATGTAAAAAATTTGTTTTTTAAATTACATTTGTTTTTTTTGTTTTTTTTGATTAAATACTTATAATATTTTGTCAATAATTGATAACAACTACCATAAATATATAAACAATACTTAGTTGAAAATATTACATTAATTTATAAATTTAGTTTAAGTTTTTAATAAAACTATGTTATCTTAACACAATGCTATATATGGTAGAATATAATAGATTATAGTATTATGCTCTGTATTATTTGCTTACACTTTATTTTAGATAAGTTTAAAAAAGAAACTTCAACTTTTATTATATTAGGCATCATTTTTACACACTCCTTTGATGCCTAATTATGTCTAATAATTTAAGAAATGAAATTATTAGACTTCGTCAAAATGAAAGAAGGCAGGCTAGGCGAGCTGAGATAAACCGCCGTCGAAATGAAAGAGATGAGCCCAGGCGAGCTGAGATAAATCGTCGTCGAATGGAAAGAGAAATGTCACGTAATTGGTAACTATGTTAAATACACTTTTGTTAGGTCCACGTAATTTTCGAATCTGCTCATCACTACGTTAGATGGCGTTATTTCTTTAAAATACCTTAAAAATCTTCAATTCAAAGTTTTTGTTTCGAATCATCAAAATATTGGCATATGATATAAATATACGATTCTAATAAACCAAAAGTATGTGGAAAAATTGCGCATACTTAGGCATCATAAAAACTTAATTCACACCAACCATTTACTTCGATATTTTTTAGTGTATGGCAGAAAAATAAATTACGAATTGTCTTAGATAAATAAAGTTACCGGACCTTTATTACTTAATCCATAAACAATTATTGTTTCATTCGATTTAACACCACAATAAAAAACAAAGCTTTTTCTATTTATTTTCGAAAAACGTTTTACAGGAAACCGAGTTCTTTTGTAGCATTTTAGTTAGAGTTATAGAAAAATCTATAACTCTTATTTTGTTAAGTAAAAAAAAAATCTTATGCTCTTCTAATTTTAGTCACCAATAACAACTATGTTAGGAATAGTAGAAAATGTTATGTGTAATAGAGAAACTGTTTTAGTGTGGTGTTGTAGGAGTACTGCGGGTCTAAGAAACTTTGTTTTCATCGATAAATTATTCTATTGGTCTATTAAAACAGTATGAAAACTTTCCAGTATTTATATTTGATGTCTTTTTTTCATTTTATTTTATAATTGTAATTTAAGTTTCAAAAAGCAGCAAAAACAACTTGAAAAGAACTATCGCACAATGACTCGCTTAAACACAGGATTCCAATTTCCTGATATACATGGAAATGCTGATATTGCTTTCACTATATTGTCTCTTTGTAATGTGTAACATCATTTTTACTTAGGTTTGCCAAATGACCGGCTTTTACAGAGTAGAATATAGTCCCAAACATATACAGTTCAGTTCTTTTACTGCTTTCTTCTTCATAAAAGCCGGACGTCTTGCAACCCTTGAATTTCCCCTTCTTTTTGTTTGCATAAATTACATAATTCTCTTAATTATAAATACTCCAAATCCGATTTTCGAACAGCGTATTTTAAAATCTAAAGAAATATAAGCAATTAAAGATTACATTTTGCAAGCCAACTGGATGCTTAAACAACTCAAAAGACAGCCACGCGCTCATTATAGCTCTCTTATAGTTTTAGAATCTGAGTGAGTTACTGTTTTGAATATCTAAAATCTTCAAATTAAGTTTTTATGATTTTAAGTGAAATTAGACTTAAGAATATGTGTAAGAATTGAGAATAAATATTTACTTTTTATTTTAGAAATGAACACACAAGAAAATTTAAACGGTATGTATTTATTGCATATGTGTGTTAGTGCTATATGCGCTTATATTAGATATTATATCTATATATCTATATATATCTAATATATGCGTATACAGCACAAACGCTATACTTTATTTAGTACGCATATATAAATATATAAATATAAATAGACAAACAATTTACACTCTTATAAACAGTGTTGGGTTAACTGATAGACAAAATAAGCACTGCTATCATATTTTATTTATTGGAAATAAATAAAAATATCAAGTAATTCTCTTTTTAGACGATGATGGTGACTTTTTTAGAAGTAAGTAAACTATAATTTCTTTAGAAGTAAACAATTTTTATTTATATAAAGTGATAGTTATAAAAAATTTATTTCAAGTATGGAGAAATCAGTAGCATATTTTTTATCAAATATTTGTATACTAATAGTAATTTGATTGTTGGTAATAGTTATATAGTTATATACACGCAGCTATTTAATAGTGAAATTTCATTATTATATGTAAAATTCAAATCTTGAAATAAGAAAAAAATCTTTATGTGTTTTTCAACTAGAAACTTGGAATTTATTTTCTAGACCAGATGTTGTGATTATTATATTTTCTAGACTAGATGTAGTGCTTTATCATATGATATGCTAAATGTATATATTGTATTGTGTGTATATCTTAGATGCGCAGGAGATAGTGGTAGAAGAGACAGAGTCTTTTCTGCCTTATTTGAAAGAATTCTTAGATAATCAAAGTTAGCATTTTCTATTTTTTCTTTTTTACTTCAGTTTTTTCGAAGTTTATGTTACAGTAAATAAATTTATGAACTAATCTTTCATACATTTTGTTTATTTAGAAAATTTAGAAAGTAGAGTTAGTAAGCAAAATTTCATTATATTACTTTTATGTATATTAAATAAAAAATAATGAGGTTGGCTTTAGTAATTTGTTCATCTATTTAGAAAAATTAGAAGATTTACAAAAGTCCATAGGTGAGTAAAATTGCTTTTATGTTTATTATACACCCTAATTATTGATGTACATCTAATATTAAATGCGTTTTTTCAATTTGAGATTAGTTTTGGACTTTGTACTTTTTGGTCAATTTTTTTAGATATCATTTTAAACTACATTTGTAAGTAACTATATTATGTTTTATGTCTCATAAAAGTTTTAATAAATAATATAATGTAATCACTTATATAGTGACAAATCCAACTTCCTCAGTAACGTATGTTGTTGTACTCACTTATACTTGACTTAATTTATGGATTAATTGGTTTTATTGCATTTTTAATTTTCTTTTATTTATCTCTAGCTGCTGCTTCTTCTGTTACAAGTAAGTTGTTCTATTCACTTATACTTGACTTAATTTATGGATTAATTGGTTTTATTGCATTTTTAATTTTCTTTTATTTATCTCTAGCTGCTGCTTCTTCTGTTACAAGTAAGTTGTTCTATTCACTTTTACTTGACTTAATTTATGGATTAATTGGTTTTATTGCATTTTTAATTTTCTTTTATTTATCTCTAGCTGCTGCTTCTTCTGTTACAAGTAAGTTGTTCTATTCACTTATACTTGACTTAAATTGGATTAATTGGTTTTATTGCATTTTTAACTTTCTTTTATTTATCTCTAGCTGCTGCTTCTTCTGTTACAAGTAATTTGTTCTATTCACTTATACTTGACTTAGTTTATGGATTAATTGGTTTTGTTGCATTTTTAACTTTCTTTTATTTATCTCTAGCTGCTGCTTCTTCTGTTACAAGTAAGTTGTTCTATTCACTTATACTTGACTTAATTTATGGATTAATTGGTTTTATTGCATTTTTAATTTTCTTTTATTTATCTCTAGCTGCTGCTTCTTCTGTTACAAGTAAGTTGTTCTATTCACTTATACTTGACTTAATTTATGGATTAATTGGTTTTATTGCATTTTTAATTTTCTTTTATTTATCTCTAGCTGCTGCTTCTTCTGTTACAAGTAAGTTGTTCTATTCACTTATACTTGACTTAAATTGGATTAATTGGTTTTATTGCATTTTTAACTTTCTTTTATTTATCTCTAGCTGCTTCTTCTGTTATAAGTAAGTCACTTTTACTTAACTTATTACATTGATTGATTGTTTTTATTGCGTTTTTAATTTTCTTTTATTTATCTCTAGCTGCTGCTTCTTCTGTTACAAGTAAGTTGTTCTATTCACTTATACTTGACTTAAATTGGATTAATTGGTTTTATTGCATTTTTAACTTTCTTTGATTTATCTCTAGCTGCTTCTTCTGTTATAAGTAAGTCACTTTTACTTAACTTATTACATTGATTGATTGTTTTTATTGCATTTTTAATTTTCTTTTATTTATCTCTAGCTGCTGCTTCTTCTGTTACAAGTAAGTTGTTATATTCACCTTTACTTGACTTATTACATTGATTGATTGCTTTTATTGTACCTTTTGTTTTTTAATATAGCTACAAATGTGCTTTCCAGTTTAATTAGTTAATGTAATAAGTCAAGTATTAGTGAGTAAAATAAATAAGTTGTTATGCTCACTTGTACTTAATTTATTACATTATTTGCTTTTATTGTTTTTTTACAGTAGATTTTTTGTAAGTATTACCTTGGTACATAGTTGTATTTATATATAATTTTTTTTTCAGGCTCGAAGTCATGGGAAGAATTCAGAAAGTATCGCTCCCAGCATCCAGGCCCTCTATCTATGAGGGCCTTCCATCGCTGGTGTTTGTATGGGGACGACCATCCCTCCTTTAGATGGAGGGATGGCACCCCATACAACACGGGGAATAGAGCGGATGCTGGGAGGAGAAGACAACGTGGCGCAAAAGTTGTCAATAATTTTTTTACATATTAAAATGTAAAGAAATTGACAACTTTTGAGCCACTTCATTTTTTTTTTGTGATATATTTTTGTGTTGTTTTTTATTTTTCCCATGAATGTTAAATGTTATCAAAGTAAATCATTTAAATAAAGACACCTTTATCAACAATGCTCATTAACTAGAAATAAAAGTCACGGTCATACATTTGATAAAGTTAATGTTAATCTCAAAGGGATTTGGTTTTCACACAATCAAATTCTATCTAGCACCTTCCAGAACTAAGAATATAAGTGTGTGGTGTCAGTAGTTTAAAATATGTATAATAAACTCAGAATAACTCAATAACCCTCAACAAAACTATGAACTAATTTTTAAATTCAAGTTGAGCTTTTTTATTTATTAATACCTCCCCTCCCAATAACTCTAATTTTCCTTAAAAAACTAATTTTTTTGTCCTTTGGAGGTGGTTCTGCTATTTAATTAATTGTTGTGATGTTTTATGCAAATAGATTTAGCTCACATTCATGTTGGTCTGTCAGGGTTATGTAAAAATAAAAAAGTAAGTTTCTTATTCGCATTTTTGAGTTTTCAAAAGTATTGATTGCATGACATGTTAATTTGTAATTAATGTGTATGATTATGATTATGCGTTTAAATAACTTTGTTCCATTTTTAGTTCCGTTTCTTATAGCTGACTTGATTATGGCTTACCTAAAGCTTAATATTTATGAAACAATGATTCAATTTAAATTGTATTATAAGTAGCTCTGTTGAATAAATTTTTTTTTTGTAATTTGTACTAAAGGTTATATTTTTCTTTTATATCAAGAAAAATATGTTTTTAAGTAAATATCTATATTTTTTTATTTTGGGATTTATTGGTTTAAATGGATATAAAAATCATTTTTGCTTTGTCTTTCATATTTCCTTTTATTATATATGAATAGGAACCATTTATGCTTTAATCACCATTAGCACTCGAAGTTTCCATTTGCATTAAGTATCGATTTTTGGTACACACAACAGGTTTAATAACTTAGGCAGTAAAAACAGCTTGAATGATTTGTTAAGAGTCTTTAAAGAAACGCTTTTACGAAAAGCATTAAATAGATAAAGCTAACTTATTTAAAATAATAAGTCTTTAACCCGTTTTTCTATATCCAAATTTACTTTTTAAATAAATGTTGATGAAAGGGTAAAATATCGTTATAGCCTACGTTAATTTTAAATTCTTTTTAAATTAAAGGAAAGAGTTTTGATACTTATTTAAATAGGGTTAGTAAAATATTTTAAATTATATTATATATATTATATTTAAGAAATTATTAAACTAAATTAAATAAGATTTTTAGATGAAACAGTAAAAATAATTGTTTAAAATACGTGCGTGCAAATAATTCCTACAAATACTAAACGTAAAATAACGCTTACAAACACCAAAAGTGTGTTTGCAGTGAATAAAGTTAAGTTCAAAGATAAATAGGAAGAAATGTTTAAAACTGTTTCAATGATAACATTTATTTTTAATTACTTTTGTTGTAAGTTGGGATGAAAAAAAAAAGTCACTGGAGTATGAACTCCCGGGGTAAGATGACTATAAATGTCTAAGTGTTGCGCGTCTACCAATTAGCCCATAAACGTATTTTCTATTTAAATTTAAGATTATTTATGACGCATAAGAAGTGTAATTAAAAATTCAAAACCAAGTTTGCAACAACTGAGTTTAAATAAAATCTAATTAGATGTGTATATGTTATGAACGTTAACTAAGGCGTACTTTAACGGCGTCACGTGTTGAATGTTTTAGCATTTTTCTAAGTTCGTAGTCTTTTTTACGTTTTTTCTTATTAAAATTTTTATAATCGGCATAATATTAAAATCGTTTGAAGTTTTTAAAAGAACATTTTAACAGAAATGTTTTTGTCATATCAAAAAGTAAGTATAGTTTTTTATATGTACATTTTTAAACGGTTTTAAAAAAATATTGAGGTAAGGAATAAGTATAGAAAAGGTCGGTGTAGAATAGATTTACTAAGACCCTTAGTTTACGTCCGGATAGCTATAGATAAGTATAAAAATAGTCGGTTCGGTAAAGACCCGTATTTTACGGGTCACCCCAGCTAATAATATATTGATAGTTTTATTTAATAGTATATTAATAGTTTTTTCCCAAATAGATTATTAGGTGATTTTATTTGCCTTATGCACAAAACATTACGCATTTGTTCAGATTGAAATTTTAAGTGCATTTTGTCTATATTATAACTTAATAAAAGTATGATATTTATTATTTATATAAGTATTGTATGACTAAAAATGCTATTAGTTAAACAATGTTTATACAAATACAAAATTTAATACAAGTTGTATAAAACTTTCAATTTCAAAAAGAGGGCCAAAGGCATGTAATAAAATACTCATAACTGAACTTAAAACTCTTAAAATGTTTAATTAGCTTAACGCTAAGCTTAGACAGTTATTACTAAAAAATGATTTACCACAAAACTATTTCTGAAACTGCAAAATACTCTTTTGAATTACCCTTATTTATTAATTAAATATTAATTAAAACCTATTAATTAAAAGAAAAGTATATTAATTTTAGAAAATATTTAGTTAAATACACTTGGTAAATTTTTAAATTTATTCATGTCTTTGTTGTTTAATATGTGTTGTTATTCTTTTTTGTTTGATCCTTAGAATTTATGTTTAATATAAAAAAAAAAAAAAAAAAAAAAAATTAATTTGTAATAAATATTAGGTAAATATAAAATATATATTTTAGGGTTAGGGTTAAGGTTAAATCCTTTCGCTTACAATAACCTATAACCTTATACCTTAAATTATACGGCTATTATATATATATAATAGCCGTATAACTTTTAATATCCACTAAAAAAACTAACATTATAACAGCATTTATGTAAACAGATTCTTTTATGTCGTTTTTTATGCTGTTATATTCGCGATCTAAAGAAATCGCTTAAGACAAAACAATTTTGGCATTATAAAGGGGTTAAATTTGCTGCTATACTATGCTTTTATGTTTTGGTGTTATATTTAAAGATGTTTTGGTGTTATATTTAAAGATGTTTTGGTGTTATATTTAAAGATGTTTGCTGTGGTAATTGCGGTAATTATATTTAAAGATGTTTGCTGTGGTAATTGCGGTAATTATATTTAAAGATGTTTGCTGTGGTAGTTGCAGTAATTATATTTAAAGATGTTTGCTGTGGTAATTGCGGTATTTATATTTAAAGATGTTTGCTGTGGTAATTGCGGTAATTATATTTAAAGATGTTTGCTGTGGTAATTGGGGTAATTATTTTTAAAGATGTTTGCTGTGGTAATTGCGGTAATTATATTTAAAGATGTTTGCTGTGGTAATTGGGGTAATTATATTTAAAGATGTTTGCTGTGGTAATTGCGGTAATTATATTTAAAGATGTTTGCTGTGGTAATTGGGGTAATTATATTTAAAGATGTTTGCTGTGGTAATTGCGGTAATTATATTTAAAGATGTTTGCTGTGGTAATTTCTATTATTTTTACTGATGGTTTTGCTTTTATACTTGTTAAATTTGATGTCACACGTGCCAGAAAATATATCAGCAAAATATCATTGCAAAAAATAAAATGTTTTGAAACTGACACATTAGTTTGTAAAGTGATGGCGCAAGCTGGTAAAAGTGAAAGAAAAATGGAAGCAGTTTAAGTTAATTTTATTGAAAACTCTGAAATAGTAAGGGCCTTTAAAAGGGAGGGGCAAAAGGGGCAAACTGACCCGGGCGCCAAGCTTGAAGTGGCGCCGGACAATATGTTTTTATTGAATAAATAGAAAATATTTTAATGACTGGCTATCTGAAATTTGCTTAGTTTTTGCATTTGAGATTAAAACTTTAGTATTTGAAATTAAATTGCACATGAAAAAAAGAATTTAAGTTTTAAATTCTATTCTTATAATTATAAATAAACTAATTTTTACGAAAAAAATAGGATTTAGCTGTTGTAGTATTAAACAGAAGCGGGCGTGTTCCGTAAGCCCATGAACAGATGTGCTGTGGTAATAATAATGGTAACTCATCAAATTTTTCTTTGAAGGAGTTGACACAGATAGCACTGAAAACTTTAATAGGTAGTGCATTCCATGGATTCGCTTCAACTTCTTTAACTATAGTTAATATATATACCGTATATATACGGTTGTTGAAGAAGTTGAAGCAAATGAGACTTTTGTGGTCAATTTCACAATAAAAGCACTGTTTTTTTAAGTAGTATTTGACTGTTGAGGCAAAAGAGAGAATTATATTTTGCATTTTTCAGACAAATAAGCGGCCTTGACTCTACCAGGACCCGGCCAGTTATTAAATATTTGAGTTTTTGCATCTTGGCTGCACTCAATATGGATAATTTACTGCACTCAACATCTTATTCGAAGGACTGTGGATCAGTGGGGGCTTAAACAATTTCCCTCAAGCTAAGCCTAATGAATTTCAAAGTGAATTATTAGAGTCAGAAAAAGGAACTTTATCTAACAGTGGAGAATGCAAGGTTCAACTTAACTTGGTAATAATTAATGCTAACTCTTCTTTGTGGGGAGTTATTTTGAGTCAAAAAGATCAAGATGCAATTATTTTAAAGAGATCACCAGCACAAAAGCAGTATTCAAAAGCGGCTAATTGTCCCTTCTTTGTTGAAACTGAGGAGCGAGAGATCAACGGAGGAAACTCATAAGTCGTGTGAAGCACCATCAACGCAGCCCATTGCACTAAAGATTCTACAATGATTGGAAAGAGGCCTACACCCGTCGTACCAGCTCCACTGGTAAATATTTAGAGCTCCATAAGTGAATAAATTCTGAGACAGCTAAATGGCTGACATTTCTTCGTAAAATTTTGAATTTGGCTGTTTTCTTGGCTTCTAAGGGATTTAACTTTAGGGAATTTACTTTAGATGTTTTCATTGACTAAATAGATGTTTTCATTGACTAAACGAAAGCTTTA